TTGTATTGTCGTAGATGCTATCCTTATTAGTCTTTACGTAATATTTAATTCTCGTGGAAGCATGTTTCCAATGATCAGTAGTTGGAATCTTGGATAGCTTCTTCATATCGTACATTTCAATTTTGATGAGATGCGTCGCTTGGTCTCCGTCGTCAGAATTAGTAGAAATGTATGATACACCATCTCTAGCGGCTCGTGCTACGGTTGATGATAACAGCTTCCCCTTTTTTATTTTTGATTCAGCTTCAAAAAAATGATCAATCGATTGCGATTTTCTTTTTCCACCATCGCATGTGTTATTATTAATGACGAGGTTATCACTCTCTTCTTGAGGGGAGAGTGGCGAGTAGTAATACTGTTTATAGGTATCTTCATCGAAGCTCAATGATTTCTGCAACAACACAGTTATCATGTTAATATCAATTTGTTAACACTTAATCATAAAAGTTAAAAAAGTTAAAGTTACAGCCTATTAAAGTCCACTGCTGAACATAGGCCTCCTCTCATTTCTGAGAGGGTTTTAGAGCAAGGAAATGTCCGCCGCGCTCCCTCAATGTGTGTTGGTGAACTTCACATGCCTTCGAAATTTTCTCAGACATGCAGGTTTCCTCACGATGTTTTCCTTCACCACCAAGCACGTGGTAATAAGCACTTAAAATTGCTATTAACAATTTAATTGGTGCTGGCGGGGATCGAACCCGGGTCGCGTACTGTGAAATTTACAGCTAGCGCTAACCATCTGAGTTACCACGGCTTAATCATATACATACACAATATTTAAATAAAATAATACACACACACATGAAAATAACAGAAAAAAAGTAATTTAGTCAATAGAATAAACACTTACATCCATAGCCTTTGGTGTATTGAAGTAACACAAATGTACTATTGATAGATCCACTGTAGCCAAACGACCGTACACTAACTCGATGACTGCGTTTGTTGGTCTTATATACCACCAGTACGTAAAAATTCTAATCTAAAGTATTTCCGTAATGAGTTGATAATTACTTTATGCGTCAACCAGTTTATCTCACATTTCCGTTGCCTATCTCAACATTTCTTCGTATTGTGTTTTGTTTGGTGATCAATGACTCAAGTACGATTTGTATAACACAAAAATGCAATTTAATATTTAGAAACATATCAGTTTATCTCACATTTCCGTTGCCTATCTCAACATTTCTTCGTATTGTGTTTTGTTTGGTGATCAATGACTCAAGTACGATTTGTATATCACAAAAATGCAATTTAATATGTAGAAATCACTATAATTGACCATTCCTATGTTATTCATTGAGTAGCTAGGTACTGTAATAATCTACTAATAGCAGTAATATCATGGATACACTAGATGTACAACAACATCTGAAAAAGATTCACCCCAGTCTAGAAAATAATGTTTATGCAGCTAATAGACTGCCTATGTATACCCACGTACCAACGTATATAATATGTAATTTGGATACAGATGATAAACCAGGGTCACATTGGGTAGCTTTATATATCGATACGAATGACGTCGGTCAATATTTTGATTCATATGGACGATCACCTGTACGATATCATCTAGAGTTTTTAAAAAGGAATTGTAAAAGATGGAACTGGAATGTTGATAGGATTCAGAATGAGTGGACTTCAGTTTGTGGCGAATATTGCTTAATGTATTTACTATATAAGTTTCAAGGATGTTCAATACATAGTTTTACGAGTATATTTACAAGGAACACATTGTACAACGATATTTTAGTGGATGAGATGTTTCGCTCCTATTTTATAGATAATAATGAATAAGATTTTGTATTTTATAAATAAAAATTGTAACAAAATTATGTAATGTGTTTTATTGATGATTCAGCTTAGCGTTGTATAAACAAAGAATTATAATAAACAATAGCACTGATATAGTCGACGCACACGCTGCAATGAAGGTGATTAAGGAACAATAGAACAATAGAAATAGGAACAACAATGGGACGCTAATGACGGTGGAGGCCCTTACCGGATATCAATTAGATATTAGCTAATTGATCTACACATCTCCGGAACCGTGCATTCTACACAAAAATGGACCGCGGATTCGTGATCAGAGCATGCCAAAACCTTTTTTTTTTTTTTAGGATCGGGCGTCGACGAACGTCGTTGAACCACGTCTGACTCAGGTGGTCTAGAAGTGGTACAACTACACTACTGGTAACACACATAAAAATACAGTCGAATCTAGTTACTCCTCCTTTTTTGAAGTAGGCTAAAAAGTTTGTTTAGCAGTAACTATACATGGTGAAAACGAATCACTGAACATCGCTTTATGATTTTATCTTAGCTACAAACTCTTTGCTGCAGGTCAAGCTTACGTGACTTTAACCCAAGTTCATCAGCAGCTTTTCAAACCGAAGAATTAGACTGCTCTAAATAATTAACATGCAGTAATTCGAAGAATACTTGCAATGTTGATGCTTTAAACGAAATGGGTCGAATAAGAAACGTTAGAAATAACTAACTAGTAATTAACTAATTTGAATATTGTTTTATATATTGTTTTGCTATACGTGGTAGAGCCATGCTGCAGCTATATTAGTAGTATAGTTGTAGCACGAATGGGTCGGCTCGACCGGGGAAGGACCACGCTCTCACAGAATACCAGCGTCAAATAGCAGCTTCATGCTGCTGTGTTTCGTATGGTGAGTGTAGAGAACCGGAGACCCTTTTTATTGGAAAAGAGGCATTCTATCTTAGTCCTCACGGGTGACAACGCATCTGCATTTTGATTCGCAAACGAGGATAAATGTAGATGTCTATGGGCCACAGCAACCACTTACCATCAGGTGGACTGTGTGCTCGTTTGTCACCCTATCCTATAAAAAAAAACTATAAATTAAAACGAAGATCGTAATCTCGTAGGACAAATCAAGTACGGGGTTTTATAAAGTCCTATTAATAAAATAATGCTAAAATATATAATATAAAATAATGTATTTTGATTTTTAGAGTCCCTGAGGCAGCCGCATCTACTTACCATTAGATGGACTGAAACCAACCCACGACTCTGATTTTGAATTGAGTCACTATTGATTTAGAATTTATTGTTGCATACTTAAATGCTGTATGATTGAATCAGCTATATACATAAAATTTTATAGATCTTGCAAATTACTGGTAATAAATCGCTTATAAAAATTATTGCTTGTTTTAAACACCCGCAGGACGCCCGTAAGGAAAATGATCATAAATCTTTAATGGCTGGTAGAAATAATTTGCTGTTACAAACAAGAAAGATGACGGTTCCTTACCTTAAAAAGGAAGATGGAACCCTATAAGGGTTTCATCACTTTGCTGTCCTGCCCTTTCGACCGTCTGTCCGTCCGTCCGTCCGTCGGTCAATCTGTCAAGAGTCTTTCTCTCGGAAACGGATACATGTATCAAGTTGATATTAGTATTAAATACTTAGGTATCATAAGGTTTTTGGAGGCTTAAAAAAATGTAACCTTCTAAATCAACTCTATTAAAACAATCGGCCATTATATTTTTTTTTCTTAAATAAAATCGTTACCCCCACACTAGGATTTTCTCCTGTGTCGTGGAGGCAGTTTACAAACATAAATTGCACAAGGACAAACATCCAGACCCGGAACAATTATTTGTAGGCCATACAAATACTTGTTCCGTGCGGGATTCGAACCCGCTGCCCCCAGCGCAACAACCGATTGCTAAGCCACTGCGCCACGGAGCCGTATTTGTATATATATATATATTTACATTAGCGAAATACAATCGACTCCTCATCATGAGATCTCTAAAACTATATGCCCGTTTGATTTGATATTTGGCACATATACTCCTATCACAACAACGCAAGACAAAGTCAACAATCGTCGACGACCGAGTCCTTTCCGATCGGCTCGACTCATTGGCGCTGCGAAGAGATGTTGCATCTCTTTGCATTTTCTTTCGCTTTACCACGGGGAGTGCTCTTAAGAATTGTTCGGATTAATCCCAGCCGCCAAATTTCACGAACGCACATCGCGGCAGAACTCCCGATACCATCTACACCATCTGGATGATTGGCGGTCCACCACTGTGCGATTTAGAAGATGTTTTCTTCCTCGCACAACTTCCTTGTGGAATAGTTTACCACCAGCGATTTTTCCGGACCGATACGACTTAGGGACCTTCAAGAAAAGAGCCTACTCCTTTTTAAAAGGCCGGCAACGCATCTGCAATTCCCCTGTTGTTGCGGTTGTTCATGGGCGGCGGTAGTCACTTACCACCAGGTGAGCCGCATGCTCGTTTGCCCCCTCTCCTATAAAAAAAGAACATTTTTCATGATGAAAAATGTTCTTGATTCATTGAATCATGATTTTGGAACATTCAACCCCTGAAAGGGTGAAATAGGGTGTTACAGCTGTTATATATTTGATACTAACAAATCGTAAACTAATTCTTTAAAACCCGAGTACTTCCCGTTTCCAGTTGAACCATGATGTAAACTGATGTATGTTAGATGTTTAGACCGCCGAAAAATTTGCCCATTTTGTCCGTGTTGTGTATTTTAGAAAACATTACCGATTTAATGTTTTCTAAAATACTTGCAAAAAAGGGAGGTGGGGTGAGGGGAGCCATTTCCGGCATAAGCGGCTACAGGCGGCAACAATGTTGTGGTCCTTATAGCAACATTTATCTTCGATTAAGAATCAAAATGCAGATACGTTGTTAACCCTGTAAAGGCTAACATTGAATGCCCCGTTACCAGTAAAAAGGGTATCCGGTTTTCGTCACTCACCACAGCATTATTCTGCCATTTCAAGCTGGTAATATAAGTGAGCGTGGTCCTTCCCCGGTCGATCAAACCCATTTGTGCTGCAAAAAGTTCATCACTTGATCAAGTTTCACCATTCTACGCCACTGTTTTGAACTATTTCATAACGGATTCATTTCTGGAAGATAAATATATACGTATTACGAACTTAAGGCAATAATGTCACTGATTACTAAAATACCTTATTAGCAAACGATAGAGCAGTGCGATACCGTTCCCTGGTCATCTCCGCGCGGGCTAAACCCAAAAGAGTACCGGCATCTGCTTCCTCAGGTATATGGAGAGCGCTGCTTCTGTCAGCCTTGTCCTTCATGTTCAGAGACAGTTTTATATCCTTGTATCCCATTACAACAGCCGCAGCACGATCCTTATCCGTGTAGAGTTCTTCTTCACGACGTCGCCGCTCGCTTTTCGGCTTCCGTCGAAAGTTTCGCTTCTTGGGTTTGATTGACTCTTTTCTTTCTTTTAACGACTGTTTTTCTTCATCGACAGACTCGCTCTTCTCGGCCGAAGCTGGCGCTCGTTTGCTGATGGAGGCTTTAGGAACTGGCACTTCTTCGTCATCGTCACCAACACCAACACGTACGAAGCTTTGGAGGAACTCTGCATCCTTAGTGGGACTAAGAATGGAACGAATTTGTGCTTTTGCGGTGTCTTCGCTTCCCATGCTGAAGTGTGTCCTTACGTAACAGGTTGTGGTGTCGTAAGTGACGGCTATATCGACGCCCAACCTGTCGTTGCTACGGCAACGAAATGTGTTTTCGCACACTCTTACCGCCTAAACTTACATCAGTTATTCACGTGTGTTTAAAAAGGATAGATGATTTAATCAATATTAAACCAGTACGACATAAATAACTTTAACAATTCGCATGAAAGACAAGACTTTCATCTTCGCTCCTTGAATTAAATGTAACCACTTGTTCATACAAATCATCGTCATTTTTTTTTATATAGAAGTAAGCGTGACAAATGAGCACACACACAGACAAACTAATATTAAGTGAATTCTGTGGACCATATACAACTATATTTATCCTCGATTAAGAATCAAAATGCAGGTGTTAGGACTTCTTTTCGGCCTTGGAGCCTGTTTAGGCAGGTGCCTATTTCTTCAGCAAATAGCAGTGTGTGAAATCCTACGTTCCGGTCACACGTATATACATATATATATATATATATATATATATATATATATATATATATATATATATATATAAAGCTAGGATAATTATAGGCTGAGAAGCATTCTGATCTCAAGGCTCAGAGGTAACAACACATCTGTAGCCTTTTTTGTTTGAAGTTGGTTGCAAGTGTTCATGGGCTTCAGTAGCCACTTACCATCAGATGTACTGTAGTTCGTTAGTTATTCAGTTTTATACAAAACAAATTTGAGTAATTTCAGACCTTGCCTTAAGTTTTGTAGCAGCAGTCATCATAATGCACGAGCACGAATGGGTCGGCGCGACTGGGGAAGGACCACGCTCTCACAGAATACCAACATAAAATAGCCGCTTAATGCTGCTGTGTTTTGTATGGAGACCGTTTTTACTGTAAAAGTGGCATTCCATCTTAGTCCTCACGGCTGATAACGTATCTGCATTTTGATTCGCAAACGAGGATAGATGTAGATATTCTATGGGCCACAGCGACCACTTACCATTAGGTGGACTTTGTGCTCGTTTGTCACCCTTATCCTATAAAAATGCAGCTACAGCATGCCTCTATCATGTACCATAGATTTAGGAGAGAAGCCCTTGTTGGTTAAGTAAATGACCTTATCTACGTTCCATCTTCTCTTCGACTTTCATAAAGTACGGTCCGACATTTCCTTTTTTTTTAAATTGTTGTCTATAATATTCTTCACAGTCTGCCTTTTTCATGATTATCATTTATAATTTATTATTTAATAAACGTAGTGAAGGTGCACCAGCATTTTACTTTACCGTTTGTATACCTACAGTTAATATTTTTTCGTGCATTAATTACAGCTTCCATCAAAATTCAACCGCTGAACATTAGACATAATTGTTACTCCTGGTAATCTCTGTTTTTATTTTTTGAACTGTTATTAGGAAGATGCTGCTGCCCTTCCGTTTCAGTTTCTGTCTTACGACACCCATGGGTTATTGAGTACCGAATCCTCTTACGCTGCAATTGTATAAAATTAATATAAAAATTTCAAAAATATATTAGTAAATATATAAGGAACTAACCTTAGCGAGGGAAGCCAAAGCGCGTTCGTAGTTTCCGTTCTTCGAGTGTCCGGCCGCTTCATCCCGGTGCTTCTTCGCTTCCACGGGATTGCTAGTTGGTTGTTCGGGTTCCTTGCCGCGTCCCATTCCCTAATTATAGGTTTAGTATAAATAAGAAATCCATATATGCTATTAGCATAGCAGCTTAGAAAAAAAAGCTTTTAAAAAATTTACTTCGCAAACATCCGCGCTATAAAATAAAATTATGTGTCTTACCTAGTATGAAGAGACATCACCTGAGGATGCCTCGTGTAAAGGCGAAACACGTGTTGTATTTTCGTCAGTGGTGTGTCTTGCCAAGTGTAGTGGTGTTGGGAGTAGCGGTGCTGGGATTAGTGGTGACGGGGATAGTGCACGCAATCCAGGGAGGGCGGGAGGTGCTCTTCATACTAGGTAAGACACATCATTTTATTTTATAGCGCGGATAATTGCGAAGTAATTTTTTTAAAAGTTTTTATATAATGGATTTCCGCAAAGTAACGCCTGATTCTATTAATTATATAGTAGCTTAGGTTTTGGATGCTAACTATACTATCAAATTACTTCTTCTGACTTAGCTTCGTACATATGGCCTTTTATTTGATAATTTTTTATAACATCGCTTTATTGATTTGGGATAGGCAGTAGAGAAACCACCAGTTCTTTCCTTAATGTTCTATTGCCAAAGTATAAAACGGAGCCCCAAAAATGGCACACTGTATCTGTTTGTCTGTTCGTTTGTCCGTCTCTTTGACAAGGATCTCTAAATCGTAGATGGAATAGTTACAGACCCGAAATTTGGATATTTGGTGTTGAATGTAAATGTAAACCAAGTATAGCATTTGAAATTAAATTCTATACAAATCTTTACAGAGCCTAAAAGAAACGTCTCATCTCAGTTTGTGCGGTGTTATTGTCTAGAGCTTGTTGAGTAGAGGTAGAGTAACGTTAGTACTGTTACGTAAAATATTTTTTTCCTGTATTATCTTTTATCTCAGTCGAAAACAAATCTCAATAGAACACGTTCACATAAACCACTAAGGTTTGTTTTAAATGCGTGAATTCTGCTCGCGTATTTAAGGAGAGAATACAAACTTAAACTAGATTTACAGTTTTTATGAATTGGACTTAATTTTTTTTACACAATTTTTTTTTGCACACCTCCAGCAATGAGGTGAAAATATAATTGGTCATAATATTATGTACGTAACCCTAATAGAGCAAGGCCTGACTCGCACTTGATTCGTTTTCTTATTTGCCTGATCTCGCCGTTATTTTTTAATACTGATAATTTTTCCTTTGTGTTTTCCATTTACTAGATGGCAGGACTCCTTTTCTGCCTAGCAGTCCCTCTGAATTACTCCCCCCCCCCCTCACCCTCTTACTCTTACCTATTTTTGCTGGCAAATAGCAATGCATGCACTGCTTTGTTCTAACCTGAGTGTAGAGTAGGGAGCTAGTTTTTAAAAGGCTGTAATGTATCTTAATCCTTAGAGGTGATAACGGATTTTTAGCCTTCTTCATTTGAAGTTGGTTTTAGATGTCCACTGACTTTAGTAGCCAATTGACATCAGATGGACGTTAGTTCGTCTGTCACTTCATTATTTTCATTCTTACATTCATTCATTCATTACAGCTCTTCATAAGACCACTGCTGAGCATAGGCCTCCCCAAGGAGCTCCCCGAGCTACCTGCATTTATCTTGAATTTCCCTACCATCAGCTCATCATTCTTTCCTTTCTCTTTAAATCGTTTCTCTTGTTTAAATCGTTCTCTTTCGTGCCTATTTTTGCGTTGAAGTCTTCCATTAACACTGTAGATTTTTAAGGAATGCATGGTTCCAGATATATCCTTATATATTTTCTCCACCTCCTCATCGGGAAGTGGCGAGGTTGATGCGTAAGCCTGTATGACCTTTAACAAATTCCTTTTGATGATTCCGAGTATAAGGTACGCAACTCTCGTCGACACACTCCCAATCTTTAACAACGTTGTTAACGTGAAACTTGTGAGTGATAAATCCGACACCTCTTTGGAATAGATTTTCGCCCTCCCAGTGTTGGAACAAATTATTTAAAAAAAAAAATCCAAAAATTTTAAACATTTTATTTAACACTACACGACAGTCTTAAAAATCTTATTTCTATAATAGTCTCCAAATCAAAATTTAAGCCATTTATAAATCATGCGAGAAATAATGGGCTAATGCTACGTGCTCTAAATATGTGCCTATAGTTATGATTTCAGTTTCGAAATAAATACTTTTAATAAACTCTAAGAGATAAAATGTTGCAGTTAGCGAAAACAATGCAAATAACTCCCAGCCTTACAACATCCATATAACAGGTAATTAGCGTCCTAGTTATGAATTTTTACAAAGCGTAGCGATTACATATATTTTTAAAAAGGGAAAAAAATTGGAAAATTAGGCTTTTAACGCCATGTCTGCAAATTATTGTAACACTACAATAGCACAACAATATCGGCACAGTGCTATCTAGTCTAATTTATTTTGGAAGCTCAAGGTCACACCTAAATTACATGATTTCGATAGCAATAAAATGTCTCTATCACAGACAGATTTAACTATCTGTGACGTAGGTTTTACTTACTGAGTAGATTGGTTTATTCATTTCAGCTCATCACAAGTCCACTGTTGAACATGGCCTCCCTCATAGAATTCTTAGGCTTGCCACATTTCCCACGCTGGCAGACGGGTTGGCAATCGCAGTTACTTTATTATTATTGAGATGATATCAAGAAGATGTGATGCCCATCTTCTACTTATTATCTTTTATCGCCCATGGGACAATGTGAGGTAGTAGATTCTGTTATACTTCCGCATTATCACGGAATACCGATCAAAACTTTGAACGCCATTATCTCGAAATAGTGTTTATGGGTGAGTCATTAAAATTAAAAAGAAAAATGGCACCCTATAAACGTCCCACTGCGCAGCTCAGCCAGGTACCCTTACCTTACCCTTAGTAGAGTTAAGGAACGGTAACAATCCACCGCAGTGCAGCAGTATAGAATAGAAAAATTTTATAAGCAAAATCGTCAACCTGTAAACGACCCACTGCACGACTCAGCCGATCAGCTCAGAGAGTAAGAGAACGGGATGTGTTGACGGAATACACAATTCATTGAACTGTATATATTCTGATTAAATTGTAGCATTTAAATATAATAAGACAGATAACCCTGCTGAAAGTAGCACGGCGATTTATGACATCGGGACGTCAAACACCTCTGTCCCCTCGTGACCATGGGTGTAGTCAATATTAAACGCGATAAACTCTGTAAAATTAGTTTAATTTAAGCTAATGTTAATATAAGAAATCATTATTGTATATACACTTTGGTTTGTTTGCAATTTGCATGAACTTTCTTTACTCTATAAAAGTATGTCGGCGCGTCTATAAAATATCGG